AGCAATTTTTTTTTTCAATCAATAATTCACGTAGTGGAGGACCGGTTGAAGATTCATGCTTTCCTTTTCTGTTTGATTGACGTTTTTAATTTTGGCATCGACTGATGTACATTTGACTGAAATTTCTGTTCGACATGCCATAACAGGATTACCGTTGGACCCACGTCCTTCATAAATTTTTCACGTTTGTAGGTCTCTTTGGATCCACTTAATGTATTCACGCTCAACAAGCCATCCAGCTTTGGCAAGACAACCGGTGGCCCAATGATTAAATTGTTTCACATCGCCAGGCTGTTTATGTTTCTAGTATCTCAATTTCGTATGTTATGACTGGACCAGATAGAAAGGTTAGATAAGTCCAGTGATCTTGGATCCTCTTTCTTCAGAGTTTTATTTCAGTCGTAAACTCGACCGGCAACTCTAGGTGTCCCAAAAAATGTCCCAACATGACAACCCAACTGTTCAGCGGAAGCTCTTGACAAGTCTCATTATTTCAAAAAGACAATCGCTCCACTTGATTCGTAGTTTTTTCTTCTAAAATTATATTAAATTTTGTCTGATTGCTAAAACTGTCAAAAAGTGCATTCTTAAAGGCATTCGCAAACTATTTTTGGGCGCACGCTATTTATTTTCTATGTCCTTTAGGACCTTACTAAATATAGAATTTACTGTTCTAAATATAGAATTTATTTTTCAGATGTGTCCAAAACAAACACTCCCTTTTTTGCGTAAACACATTAAAATCAGCTCCTTAAGCAATTCGCAACTTATGTTTTCAAATGTTTCCTGAGAATTTTTATTATACATGAATTTCTGGCGTATGTTTTCCACGAACAGCTGCATTGGGCAGACTATAGCAAAGCAAATTCAAGGAAGTTGTCGTTATTGAATCAGTTTTCGATGCTTTCCAAGCCAGCTCTTTTTTCATGGTTTCCAAATGGCTTCCATGGTTTCTATAACTGACCACTCTTTGATTGAGATGAAATATGGACCACATCAGATTTTTGCTTTTCCAATGTTTACAATTCAGCTGTGCTTTTTTTTATACATTGGAACGCTACATCCAACCGCTACTAATATGGTTCTCTTTTTTAGAAGAAGCAATGGCCGCAACCTTGGCGTTGCACAAACACGTTTTCCATACGTGTTTCTGACGCCGGAGAGAGCTTGAGCCATCAGCAGCTGAAAGGTAGCTACAGCGTTACACTAGCCAAAAAAAAAAACATTTTATATTCTAGAACAAAACCAGCTCACATGCATAGCCCGTTTTTTTCCTATCATGGTTTCTGAGTAGTACCTGTCAGAATACAGAGCTGAAGTTCAAAGTCATGAAGAACTTGGCATTGCCTAGTTTTGAACACTTTTCGCCAATGCGTAGTGTGGGTTACGCGTTTGAGGCAGCTGTGGCTCATAATGGATTATGATGTGTCGGCCTGAAATACATAAGAACAAATCATCACAGCGACTGGCTTCTACCATTGATGATGAAGATGCCATGGACAAGGACCACGCGGATTTCTGCAGAAGACTTTTAAAAATGACCGGCGCTGTTTCTTCTGTGATTTGAAAAAACAATTAAAAACAGATTGAGCTCAGTTGCGGGATGCTCAAGGTGTGGCAAGTCTTCCTATGCAAGAGGGAAAATTTTCGCAGTTTCAGTTCAACAGGTATCGTTTATTGAATGAGGCAGAACCCTCAGAAACTAGGGAGTACAAGGAACCCTTGCAAAAAAGTCGCTACGGAAGGGGCTACTACCCGGGTCGAGGTCCGCGACTTAAGAAAAGACTTTGTAAGTCGCGCCGCGTACCTTTTTCAGATTGGATTTCGCAGTCGCGCCGCGGGCTTAAGTCGCGCCGTCAATCTTTTCTTACATCGCGCCGTCAGTCTTTTCTTAAGTAGTGCCGCTTAAGTCTTTTCTTAATTCGCGCCGTCAGTCTTTTCTGAAGCTGCGCCGCTTAAGTCTTTTCTTAAGTTGCGCAGCTTAAGTCTTTTCTTAAGTTGCGCAGTTCGTATTTTTTCTAAGTTACGCCGTCAGTCTTTTTTCTAAGTCACGCTGTCAGTCTTTTTTAAAGTCTGTCTTTTGTTAAGTCGCGCCGCTTAAGTCTTTTATCTAGTCGCGTCGCTTAAGTCTTTTATCTAGTCGCGCCGTCAGTCTTTTCACGGCACGACTTAAGAAAATTTTTTAGCGAAGCGACTTAAAATAAGACTGGCGGCGCGACTTAAGAAAAGATTTAAGAGCCGCGACTTAAGATAAGACCGACGGCGCGACTTAAGAAAAGACTTAAGAGCCGCGACATAAGATAAGACCGACGGCGCGACTTAAGAAAAGACTTAAGCGGCGCGACTTAAGAAAAGACTTAAGCGGCGCGAATCAAGAAAAGACCTAAGTGGCGCGACTTACGATAAGAGCTACGGCGTGACTTAAGAAAAGACTTAAGAGCCGCGACTTAAGATAAGACCGACGGCGCGACTTAAGAAATGACTTTCTGTATTTTGCTCAGTCGCGCATGTCGGAGTGGTTGATTCTCAGTCGCGCCGGTCTGTAAATGAAAATTTTCAGTCACGCAGGTCACACCATTACCTTGGGTCGCGCCGGTCCCGACGATTTTTTGAGTCGTCGCGGTCGCGCTGGTTTTTTTTCAGTCGCACCGGTCTTCAATTGCCATGTTTAGGTCACGCTGGTCTGGTATTGCCAATAAAAAACCGCGCCGGTCTAGAATTGCCAAATTTGAGTCGCGCCGGTCTTTTCTTAAGTCGCGGACCTCGACCCAGGTACCGAAGCACTCGAAATTAACGTCGCGACCAAAGAAGTTGAGGATAGGGTAAAAATAGAGTTAGAGAATACCCAATTACGGAAGCAGCTCAACTCACTTGAAAAAGAACAGTTTTTCAATGACAAATCTGGTATGCAATCTTCTGGCTTCCTACCGCGCCTTTTTCAATGTCCATTTCTTTCTTTATGAAACGAAACTTTCATCAATCAGCCTTTTGTCTCTAAAAAATTGTGTTTTTTCTAGTTCAACTTGTCCAGTAGTTACTTTTTTCTCACCTGTTATTTTACAATTAAAGTGATATTTTTGTGACAAACCTGATTTATTTCATGCTAGTTCTGTCTCTGTCTCTGTTGATCTTTCTGCATAACTTGAGCAAGTTGAAATCATTTTTTTAAACAAACTAGAGAACTCATTTTTTAACACTTCAGTTTAATAGTCTTTTCCAGTCTAAACTCTTTTTTTTAGCATGACAGAGACTCTTTACATTAATTTATTTTTTTTCCACAAAAGTCTATTTACAGCGGCAAAAAATTCATCTGCATTGAACCGAAACTCTTCATTCTTATGTTTCCAACATCACACTCAAAGGTAGCCCATTCTGCGTGATAAAAATGTCTTCTTACATTCGCGTATTTTTGATGTTGAGTGTTCGTTTAAAAAAAGCCCGCCTTTTACTACATATTTTAAGGTCTCTGAAAAACTACTGATGATCGTCCTCTGTGGCATCCACGTCATAATTGTGCAAGTTTCACTTAAAGCTTCAACGTCAATAAATGATGCAAATATTTGAAAATCATTTGTAAAAAAATGGTTTTTCAAAAAAAAAAAACGATTTCTTTTAATTTTTGGCGCCATTTTCTGGTTAAAAAAAGTATTTAGTTTCATAAAAATATCTTTTGTGCAAATTGCTTTTAGTTAAGAACTGTTACACAATTCTCAAAAAGCGTGAGCTTCATTGCTTTCTAGAGATTGTATTGCTTATATTTTTTTTCCAGGAATTATCTTTCCATTTCAAAGGATTTGAAAAAAAAAAAACATTTCAATTTTTTTTACTTATAGGTCTTGTCATCGCTCAAACAGGGTGGTCTCGTGAGTCGAACAGGGTCGAGTCGAAGAGGGTCCAATCATCAATCAAACAGGGTCAAATCAAGCGTCGAATAAGGTCGAATAATGGGTCGAGCACTTCATCCCGGGCAGTGTAACATGAATTGGGTCTGAGTTTTTTAATTTCAGATTTTTTAATCTGAATTTTTAACTGGTCTGATTGTTTTATTTTTCAAATTTTTGTGATCCACCTAATATTTCTTTTTTCAATTGGTGCAAAAATTTGTTAAACATATATGTAAAAACGCAACTGTGATCTAGAACCGCAAGTCCTTATTTTTTGAAAAAAATAGTTTGTTGATGGTAAACTTTCTAGATGGTAAATGTGTTACTGTAATCGGTCTTTCTTCTCGATATGCCTTGCAAACGACTAACTTTCAGTTATATCTGTTTTATTGTTCGTAACCAACTATAAAAAGAAAACTACTGGTTACTCAGTTTTTTAATCAGAGATGCATTTCAAAGTTCGAACAAAATAAATAAGCGTGAAGGTTGTAAAGGTGAAACCTATAACTAATGTACAAACTAATAGCTCAGGGCTTGTATTATAGCAAAGAATTTTTCTGCTTGCCTTTGCGAGATTTCTCTAATTGCAAAATCTAGATGCAGCATGGGGCCGTCTAAATTTTGCCTGCAAGGTTTTTGGGAATTATTTGTTGCAGGAAACAATTTTTATTCGTTGTTCTGACATGATTAAAAAAAACAATATAAATTTTTGTATGTGTCATCGCAGAACATTCAAAGTTGCATGCATGAACGAGCAGTTTCTTTTTTTAAGTGTTTGATTGGCAGTTTTTCTTGCTTATGAAACGATGCGATGACACTTAGGCAAATATGGATTGAAACCAAATTTTGATCATCGCAAATCAACATATAAATTTAAGTTGTGGGTTCTTTTTATAGTGCTTTGTGAGAGATTGGAAAACTAATTTGGTCGACCTATAAAAAAAAGGTCGATAAAATTTTTTGTTACACATCCGTTCCCTCCCCCCGCCCCTCGATAAAATCCTAGATCCGCTTCTGACTGAGTTATAGTAACTTCTCCTTTCATAGTAGCTTGAATACTAAAAAAACATCAACATCTGTTCAAACTGTATAAAAAAGTTTTTTCAAAAATTTATTTAGCTTGTTAATTTTGATTTACAAATTACTGGAACTACAAATTAATTAATGGAATGATGATCAATGATCCAGATAATTTGAAGATTGCTAAAATAAAGAAAAGCCGTACACATATTGCACAGAAAGCGTAAACATAAGTTTTCGCATACAATTTGATATACAAAAACTCTATTCAACATTTCAACATAGTTGCAACAAAAACATGTATCATCTAAACTTTTTCTAAGACAAAAACATCCTTCGTTATGAGTTACCATTTATAAAGCAGAGTTCACGATTGTAGATCGTTTTCTGATCTTATAAGGTAGATTTGTATTCTTTAAACGGATGTTTTTTAAGATTGAGCTACACACGTGAATGAACATTGAAGAGGAATGTTGAGCAAGTTGTGATGAACAGATAGGCAGACACAAACTCTAAATACAAATGAAACATTTACTTACTAGTTATCAGAAACTATTTAATTTTTTCAACAACAAAAAAAACAAGAAAAAAACAAAAAACATTAATGAAAACAAAAAACAAAAAAAACATGAAAGCTATTCCCGGTTTTGTACAATAAAGTTTTTGAGAAACACTAATCAACAGAAAAACGGTCAGGCAAAAGGCAAAACAAGTGAAATGAACACTGAAACATCTATATCTTGACATTCATACATTTCACTTTCCGTAGATTTTACCTGAAACTTCGAAAAAGAAAACCAACAAAATGCAACAAAATTTGATATAATTTTTTTCAATTCAAAATTACTTCTTGGATCGAAGTTTATCAAAATATAATAACTTTCAAAACTAGCTAAAATTAATCCAAAAAAAATAGAATAGATTCTCAATGAATAACTCGCTCTCCCAGCAAAAAAAGGTTAAACTTTTTTAATGATGCTAACTTTCAACTTAGTTCTTAAAAAAATTGACCATTATTCATACTTAGCATGATAGTAGCTTCGCTCTTATTCTTCGTGTCCCTTATAGCTCTCTTTATGTGACCATGGTGAAATTAGTATGGCTTGTCGCCGCTGTTGGACGAAGATGAGGTGGCGCTGCTGCTCTTGAGTTTCTTGTGTTGCACCTTGAGTCTTTTGTTCGAGATCTGACACCCATTCATGGCCCTGATGGCCTCCTCTGCCTGCAGGGGTGTCTCGTAGCTTACGAAACCTAGAAGAGTGGCTGCTGTTCCTCATATCAATTATTAAGTGTAGTTGAATTCAGTTTTTTTTTAAGAAAAAAAGGATGAATTCAGTTTTTTTTCAAAAAAAAGGATAGCCGATTGCTGCAAGAAACGCAGAAAAATCAGACCAAAATAAAAGCACAAAATTTTTTGTTCCCAAAAATGCGGTCAAAAGTTTTATCGCGGCTTAAATAAAAGCTTATCCTCCTATTATAAGCCTGCTCGCTCGCTTTGTTTGTTTGAAATTAGACTAAAAATCAATATATCACTCGAAATATCACCAATTTCGATTATTATTTCTGGTACCTGACTTGGCATGGAGAAAAAGTTTTAGGTAAAGAGTTAATCAGAATTCAAAATGATTGAGCTTTTTTAAATTTTCTGTAACCTGTCTATTCATGGCTAAACTCATCAATAAAAAAACTTAAACACATCATAACCCCCAGTCAACAAAAGGTGCTCTTATATTTTGATTAAACAAATAGTCAAATACAGCGGCCTGCGCTCTAGTTTTTCGCTTGAGATCTTTTTGCAAAACTTGGCCGACTTTTCAATTTGGTAATCAGCGTTAATTCTTTCGAAATCTGTTGAAACCTAAAACGACCGAGGTTTGATTTTTAGGTGATAAAAGTGTTTTATAATACTTTTGGAACGTTCAGATCAAAAATCGCGGTAAAGATGCGCTAAATACGCCATCTGGTGAAAGCGCGATGAGTTTACCGAAGCATTTGCTGAGGTTGGTGTTTTTGTCGATGAACACTTTGGCACTAATGAGTTTCCCAAAGGGGGAGAATGTCTGCACCAGATCGTCGTCTGTGAAGTCTGCGGGCAAGTGGTATATGAACAGATTAGCCCCTTCCGGACCCTCTCGCTGCTTCTCGTGTTTGCTCTTGGAGAGTCCTGAGGGAGTGGGGGGTGGTAGGAGACCCCCCAGAGCTGCTAGTTGCAGGGCGTCCAAGGTGGAGAAAGGGGTGGGGGCGCTTGTGTTGGGCATTAGGAAGCTCATTCCACCTAGGGTAGGATAATTCCATCAAATATGAAATATAATCACGCAAAAAAAAAACAAGAAAAAAGCTACGGCAACGCTAAAAACATGAAACTTCAACTTCATTTCAGCAATATTTTTGGTGTACTTTTTGTACCTCAAACTTCGTCTCGTCTAAATTACCTGCAGGTTGGAATTTTTTTATGACAGTAAGTTTGCCTGGAGCAAATTTATTTAATCAAGTTTATGGTCCAGTACTCGTATAAAATTGATTAAAAATTGATAAAAAGGGGAGGAACCAATTTCAGACTGACCATTGATGGCAAGTTGGGTTTGATATGCTTGTGCTGCATTCACCAGCAGCTGATCCACCAGAGGATTTGATCCCACTCCTCCCAGTGTCCCACCCACTATTGAGGCAGGATTCTGCCCCAAGAGACCCCCCAAACTCGCCCCATTCTGAAACTGACTGGGATCTATCATCTGTTGCATGTGGGGTAGAGAAGCCGTTATGGAGGGGTGGGTAAAGAGATGATGCAGGGGGTGGTGGTTGGGGAGGTTGGTCGTGGCGATGGGCGTCGCTGTTCCGCTGATGGTTCCTCCGAGTGATGACGAGTCTGTTGGCATTATGCATGGAGCACCGGTCAGATCTAAAACAAAACAGATATATTGTAGATGTCACCGACTAACAGTCAAAATAGCGGTGGTTGGAGACCAGCATGATCCGTGCCCATTTGTTGCTAAAAACGCTGTATTAAAGCGCAGAAAAATAACCATACAGTGCATGTAAAGCCTTAATCATGCCATCAGCGGCTTACCTTTAATACGCAGCTTGTATGTTATTTTCGAATGAATTTTTGTTTTTGCTCGTTTTAGATTCTGTTCTTAAAAGATTTGTTTTCTGGATACATTTGGATCTTTTGAGGAAGTTTTTATTGAACAGAATCGATAAAACAAGGTGTCATTCGTTAAAAAAATAGTTTGAAAACGTTTTTTTTTTGCTGAAACTCTGCGTGAGTATAATACCACCCAAAACCAGGCTTTATTCAGCGTAAAAAATTTTGACTACGCGTGCATTTTGTGCGGAAGTTTTGCGTGATGATCATTTAAAGAAGCAAGGATAGCCGGTTGCTGCGCAAAGAGCGCAGAATGTTCCGACCCTAGTCTTGAAAAAAAAATTAGAGTTCGTGTCGTTTGTTCTGCGTAGTATGAAAGGATCTCAACAAAAAACTATAACTTAGGCATATCCGATTTTCATAGTACCATATGCAAATTTGTCAACATTTTTTGTAAAAATAATCACCAGGATAACAAAAAAATATATAAAACCAATAAAACAAAATCGAACAAAAAAGCTCAAAAACTAAGTTATCACTGCTAAAATTAAGTTATTGTAAGCTATTAAAACCAGATATTGTAAGCATGTTCGCTTGCGTTATTCGCTCGAAATGAGACGAAAAATCAAAAATTTCAAACCGATTTTTCTCGTCACTGGGAATTTGTCTGCAATTTTTTAATGTCGTTTGGGTCGCGACTGAAAAAATTGAATATGATACACCTTTCAACCCAGTCCGATGATTATTTTTGGTTCCTGATTTTGCGTCGAAATAAAAATAAAATAGAAAAAAAAATAGAAAAAATTGAAACAAACCCGAATACAAAGTTCCTCCCCATTTTCAAACAAAGAGGGTGTTAGTTCTATAGAAAGAAATTTTTAACTCGAGCGCATATTTGTGTTTTTCGAATATTGAAATATAATTCAAACCAGTGTTCTTCGATTAAACTAAAAATGTCTCCGAATACAACTTAAATTTTTAAAAACCTAATGTTTGACTTCCAAAATTTTAATCATCTATCACTGAATTTTAAAATTTATACTGAGCTCGGTTTGTAGAATAGCCCATTCAATCAGTTCGAAATAAAAACAAGGATTGCCGGCTATTGTGCAAGTGGCATAGAATGTTCCGACCATAGTCTTAAAAAATGCAAAAAAAAAAAACAACTTTTTTCAAATTAGTGTAGTTTATTTTCTGCGTAGTGTGATAAAAAAGTCTTAACAAAAAAAAGACTTTAAGCATATTTTACAGTCATCGTACATAAGACCAAATTAAAAACTTTTTTTATAGAAAAATGACTAGAAAAACGAAAAAAAAACTAAAGAACTTTTAAAAGTTCACAATTTTCGAAATTTTTGAATTCTTTTGCAGAAGTTTTTGATTTCTAAAATGAGCAAAAAAACTTCAAAAACTAACTTAAATTGAGTCAAATTAAGTTTTTACGGCTTAAATTAAGCTAAGAAAAGATATTGTAAGCCTGCGCACTCATCTTATTAGATCGAAATTAGACCAAAAAATCAAAAATTTCAAACCCGTTTTTCACGACACTGAAATTTTAATTTTTTTTTATTTTAAATGTCGCTCAAATCACAATTTAAATGGTTTTAATATGATTCATCACTCGACCCATTCCGATGATTATTTGTAGTACCTGATTTTGCGTGGAAAATAAAAAACCTTTCACCTTTCACACCCGACTACTAAGTTCCATTGTATTTTCCAAATGGTCGGAACAACAAGAAAAAACTTCTGATTTACTAACTTGAGGCATGAACTCTTGCTGACGTCAGAGTCCCATTTGGCCCTCCCAACACTGATGACGAAGAGCAATTTGACCCCTGAAGTGCCATCTGCATTTTACCCAGCTGCAGTGCCTGTACATTTGGTCCATTATTAACTGTTGACTGAGAAGAACAGAGAAGCATTGAAGCTGGTGTGGGGAGTAGGCCGAGACCCGAACCCACGCCGGAGGAGTTGCAGTTGTTAGTGTGATTAATTCGTTGGCGAAGTTGTTGAGCTTGAGTTGGGGAGGAATTGTTTCGGATTTGAAGATTGCTCGGCTCCGGAATTGGCGATGGAGGTAATTTTATCCCTGTTTAAATATTGCTAGTTTGAATAGAATCACAAATTTTTAATATAAAATTAACTAAAAATATCAATTTTATTTTTTTTTGCCGTTTCTATTTCAAGTTAACTTTTTCAGAAAGCTTAATTACCAAACGAACGTTTTTTGAGGGTGATTTGCACGAAATACAGGGCACAAATTAACGAACCAACTAGTTCTTTTTTTTGCAACTTGGTTATAATAATCAAAAGCTGTCTGAGTTTACATTTGGTGTGGTGTATTTCGACATGCACACTAATATTTACACATGTTTGCAGTAACGAAAGGGTTATAACTGTATGTATAACTCACCTGTTATCTGGTTTGGAATGTTGTTGGAAGAAGGGGGGGGTGGGGAGGACAGGGTGCCGTTTTGAACCACAGTCTGAGGACAATTCTGTACCAGCTGAAAAGAATCAAATGAATTAGTTCACTTTTTGATATAAATATTCGGCGAAAGTATTAAGTTACACGCTCGAATGAGTCAAATCATCGGGTTCTATTTAAGAAGTAAAAAATCAGATTTTTCAAAATTCATCCACATCTATATCTTTTGAGTTAAAACTATTTTTAATAAATTTTTGAAGAATTTTTTAATTGATTAACTAATTAGTTATAACTTACGCTCAAATATGCAGGGTAATTGGTCGGTTGTTGCAGAAGAGATATTTGATTCAGATAGTTCAACATCGCCTAAATTGAAAAAATTATTTTAAAAATCAAAAACTGGTTTGTAACTATTCAAACAATTGGTTTAAATATTATAATAATATTGTAACTTTATGACAGGAACCAGATTTGAGTCGAATTGTAAAATTGGGATTGACGATTTTTTAATTTGGCATTTTTTCAGAATAGTGCGGTTTTTCAAACGAGATTTAAACTGACGCCAAATGGTAAAAAGTCTTGTTCTCTCGAATTCATATTTACACAAATAAACAGGAGTTAACGCGCTGTGGAAAATAAACAAATTTTGTAATAAAATGGAATATTTGTCTTTTTGGATGTCAGAATTGGAACAGCATTTTTTCGGTTAAACTCGTGGTAATTTAATTAAATTTAATGCTTGACTTGCTTTAGTAAGAGTTCTTTAGTTTCAGTACTTTGGAATATCAACGAAAGATATCCTACAGAGCCTAAGTGTTAGATAGTTAATATAAGTCAAGCAACTGAAAATTGACATTGCGAAGTTTGAATGGCGTTTAGGGGGGTTAAGTGTGGGGGGTCATGTTTGAGGGGAATTGGGAGGTTGTCTAAGAACAGCAAGCGAAAGTGGCTTTCGTTATTTTTCTCCGGGTTGCAATAAGAACTCAAACAAAGACTTGACTAGAAATACAAACATGCAAATAAGAATTGCTGCTGAATATTTATTCTGCTAGAGAAGTCAAGCCATAAGGATCAGTGTACTTAACACATACAACTGGTAGCTAGAATGACGACAAGTGTTGGCCTATTGAATCATTCTGTTTTTTAAACCAGGAAAAGCCTTCAGTTTTTTTTATTTATGATTTAATACTTTATAGCTGCAGTCCGAATAAAGTGTAATTTATTACGCAAAGAGCAATGCGCGAGATTTTTTTTTATTCATTAAATAGGGCCACAGTCAGAAAAAAAAACAGAATGCGTCTTTTCTTTTTTCAGTTACTGGACTTTTCTAAGAGCATCAAAAGAAAAGCTGAACTTAAAAGGAGATCCATTAAAGATTTAAATCTTTTATTTTCTGCTCATGCCACAATGCATGGATATTTTCCAGAAGTGATAAAAAACTAACAGCTTTAAAAAAGTTTTGCTAACATCGTTGATTTCAAAAACAGCCCGTTCTCAAAAAAAAGATTCAGCACTTTCGGATACTGACTCAATCAAAGTATTGCCCTTAATACTACAATTGAACTTTTGTTCAAAAAAAGACCGTAATGAGTTATAACCGATGGTCTTAACTCATAGAGTAATTTCGGATAGGGTACACCGTCTGCTCGTCACGCTATCTTATTTTCGGCCGGATAGATTCGTGCAACTTCTTAGTCTAATACCGATCCTAATCTTACTCTTATACTATTCTAGTCTCAGGTTGTTTAACTAGTCTCTGCTAGGCTCAATAGATCTAGGGTATACTGGTTTATTGCGGCTGCTGAAGTTCTCTTGGAGAGGCAACTAATTTCTAAGTTAAATTCAAATCTCTCTGGTGCTGAAATTACAAGTAATTTCAGCACTTACAAATAAGTGGGTTGTTAGTTAGATGGATCATGATTGGTTAATATTAAATACTTTACAGTGGTAAAATATCTAATTTATCCAATCATAAAATGTAGTTTAGATCAGGTTCCACCCATCCGGGTTTTACAGAGTTTTTTAGAATAGTTTTTCTGCAATTCAAAGGATGGATGATGGACGTTGGTATTTGGCGAACATCATATTTCTTCTGGGTTCTCCTGTTAGAGAAGTTCCAGGATCAATCGTTGTGTCTTCTTATGACAACGACTGGGTTTTCTCAACAAACTCAAATTTGATTTCAGAATGGTTTGCTATGACAGGTTTTTCTGTTTCATGTAGAGAACTTCTTTTGTGTTCAACCTAGTCTGGGAATGGCGTGCAGATTGTGCGTGGAGGGGATGCCTGGTTACTCGGATCTGTACGTATACTTGAACATCGAGGTGGTCATTGGTCTAGTTCAATGAAGTCCTTTTCTGCGAAGTCAAGTCGTACTCTAAATCCTTTGAGTTGTGATTGTGGACGGCATATTGATTGTGGTTGGCCATTCTTTTTCGAGTGTAGTGGGGTCCTTTTGTCTTTGGATGTTCGTCTTTGGTGTTGTATGCTGATCTATATACTGCAAGGTATAATTTACATTTTATAAAATTTTTATTAGTTCGGTGTTTTAATTATGATTTTGGTTAGTTGTTTTCACAAAAGCTTTTTGTTTTAGTTCGGTTATTTTGAAGAGTTACTCACCCTTGAGTACCTCTTATTAAAATAGAAGTGTGGTCACAAAGCGTGGATGTAGCGCGGTGGGTTAGGCCGGCTATAGAGCATGCTCAGGACGTCCTCTCTGGTGGGTTAGGCCAGGAGTGGGAGTATGATTTCGTGCGGTTTTTGTGAGAGGTCCTGTTATGTGATAACGTTTTATGTTGGGTTTATTGTGGTTTTTCTTATGTTTCGTTGGTTGTGTCCTTTTTTTCAAAAATCAAATTGTTTTTGGTATGGGTTTGTCTTTCGACTTTTTTGTGTTTTATTATTTCTTTCCTTGACTTTATAATAGTCTTTAAAAGAATAAATTATCCAGTTTTAAACTGGGTTAATCCGGTTTGGGTACCGTTGGTTTCCTTTTCTTAGTCATGCTATTATTCTATGTGTTGTGGTGTTTAGTAAGCTGCGTTGGTTAGTTTTGTTTAGTATATAATTCCTTTCCAACCGGGTTAAAGGAAAGTTTGAAACTTGTTATCGTGTGTTAGAGTTGTTGAGTGTGAAAACTTAAAACTGAAATTCATTATTTAAACAATTCTTCGTGGGCGAGTTGTGCGAGTTTGGATAAAATTCTTGTGCGAGTGAATGAAAATATCAAAAGATTAGTACTGCATTTTCGTTTTATCAATTTACTACATAGAATTTCAATTTTACTGCTAATTTTTTTTTTTGGGGAAAAATTAAGTTACAAATTTTCATCATTATTAGAATTACTGCTTTTAGGGAAATAATTTATAAATTAATTTACTACATTGGTATGATTTTTATTGAATTTATCTAGTGCAAAATATTATTAGAGTTTTGAAGAATTTGAAGAAGTTTTCTTTTTTTTATTTTTCTTTTGTGGACTTTGTAGGTGATCGTGGGATGAAGACTAAAAATCTAAATGAGACATGGATAAGAATGGTTAGTATTTTTCAAATTTATTAGTGAATAATATGATAAATTATACTTACCTGTTAGTCGTCGGGGAAAAAACCGTGGGGGAAGATGTCGTGTATTATGTCGGAATTTGTTAGTAATTTTGCTAGTATGCGAATGATGTTTTTAGTTTGAAGCAGTGGCCAAAGCAATTGAAGTGCTTTAATAGTTTTTAGTTCTTCAGTGCCAACTGCAAACTCATAAGGTGTGTTTTGGATGAGATTATATAATTTGTGATTGTATTTAGTGTTGTGAATGAATTCTAATATCGGGATTTCTATAGGTTGGATAAATTCATGTGGGATAAGGAAGGGTCTGGATTCTTCTGCGTTGAAGGTCTTCGTGATGGGACAAAAAATATACATTTGGGTTATGGGATCATAATTGCGAAGAATACCGTGAAGGTTAGTATCTTTGATGCAATATGTGAAGTTAAGAAAAAATGGTGATGTGTATTTAGAGTTAATAAATTGAAAACGGTGGTGTGGTTGTCTTGATGGGGTGTTTAGATCAAAGTGATTTTGTATGAAGCGATAATATGTATATGTGTGGGTTTGTTTAGTGCGTAACATAATGTCGTGTGAGCAGTGCAAATCGCGTTCTTGTGGTGCAAGGAAATTGAAGGTTAGTGAAAATAATTGAAATCTTTCTTTAAAACTTTCGTAAGCTTGCATGTCGGTTAGTGCTTCAGAAATGACGTGGTCGAATTTGCGATCAAATATATTGAGTGTAAATACACATGGTGTTTTTATGAAGAATTTTTCTGTGATTTGTGGGTTAGCGAAACGATCATCATCTAAAAATTGGTCTTGGTTAGCTCGGATGATGTTGTGATCGTAATATTCTAGCGTATATTCGTTAGCTCGGGGTGCAGTGTATGTTTTTAGTGACTTTTTATATCCTATATAAGTAAATTGTCTATGTGTTAGTGGTGTGGTGAGTCGATATAGCATATCTTGATTTCTTTCTATATCGATCTGAGTATTAGATAAAGGTAGGCAAAGGGGGTTAGTAAAGTGATAATATGATTTCCAATGAAGTGTAGGCATTAAAACTTGTTCATCTACAAAACTACGTGTGTCGTTAGTGTCGTTTGGGGTGTTCAAAGTATATTGTGGAAATGAAGGTAAGGTGATTGCTAAAATTTTTTTCGTGTTAGTATGATTTGGATGATTAATATATTCACGGGCTGTTCCTGGTTTTGTTGGAAATGGATGGTTTGGGAATTTTCTTTTGAAAGTGCGATAAGCTCTATTAGTGCTATTTGATGATTCGGTGGATGTGGATGATGGTGCTAATGATGCGGTATAAGCTGAAGAGGGTGTAGGGGTAGGTGGGTTTGCTGATTCTATTGTGGATGAAATCTGATTTATAGTGGGGTTTTCAAGGTGGAAGGGTTGTTGTTGTAGGGTGATAAAATTATCTAGTTCTTGGGAGATTTGGGGAGTATCTGGAGAATTGGATGATCGGTCTGAATGAAATGAAGAGTAGGTTGGGGTGACTTGTGAAGCATAAGAGGGTGTAGAAATGGATGGGAGTGGGTTATTTGGTTGAAAAGGGGGTTTTGAAAAAACTGAGGAGTTGGTTTGAAAATTATTGGATGGAGATGGTTCAGAGTCTGCAAATTCATCAGGGGTTTCAATATTTGGGTTATTGAGTTGTGAAATGGAGTATAAAACTGAGATATGTGAATTAGTGTCTGAATTCATGCCCGATGTTACATTATTGGTTGGGAAATCGGGTGGCGGGAAAGCAAAAAGTGGAATTATTGTAATTGGAGTGTTGAGGTTGGTTGGATGGTAATTTGAGCG